CAAAAGATTCGACTTAATTTCTTTTAAGCTTTCGAAGTTCGTTCGTCCCATTTTTAGACAACAAAAGAAACAATATATGACTGATGATAACTTAAATAAGAATTATGCAGCTTATGAAATTCTCCACCAGTTATTCTATGCACAAAATTTCAATGAAAATATAATAGACATCGTGAATGCTATGATTCATAAGACCTTCACTCAATTCGTGATACTATACTTCTGCACACAGTCATTTCCGCGCAAACTGAATTTTTTTCTATTCTACCTATGATAAGTTTAAATAACTAAAACGTGTGTAAACTGTCCTAGATTAATAGCTCTCTCCTTCAGGACATGAAAATCGAAATTTTCTCGATGTTTTGTTTATCATTGATACATATATACTTTCAAGCATCCTCTACACATTGGATGCATTTTGAGAACTCCATAATAGCTTTAAAGTTGAAAAATAAATTAAAAAGAATGTTACATTTTTCTCTCCCGATTTCTCCGACATAGTAAAAAGTAATGAGTTGATACTTTTTTTTTTAAACATATACTAGAAACTATTTGGCATGGATAGTTTTTGTTTCTATGATCTTTATTTTAATATATGAATTATTATTAAACTGTTTGATTTAAATTATTCTAATTCTGTGATTTTTGTTTTTTTCATAAATAAACTGTTATAATTTTGAATTATGTCGTTGCTTTTATTTTTAGGCATCGAACACACTTAGAAAAAACGCATTGAATTCAGTTCGATATGCTGAATTTTGTCTTTCTAGTTGTCATAAAGGTTCAAATGAATCGACGTGTATTGGAAAAAATCTTGTATCTTTTCTTGGGAATTATACACCATATTTGCAAACATTACGTATTTGGCGACCAGATGATTTTCCTTGGACATCAAGTAAATGAACATTTGAATAAAATAAACTCATTATAAATGAATTTTTATATTATTTTAATGATTAATATTTTGTTCTCTTTCTCATCTTAGATGGAATATCTAAATTCAGATTTAATCATTTCTATAGAATAAAACAAGAGTTCAATTTAAGAAATTTCTTAAAATTCTATATCAATTGGATTTTCTTAGAAAAATTTTAACAAAGATATACTATCAGAGTTTGATATTTGAATAAGAACAAAATATTTTTCATTGAAATATTCCTTGATCATCTAAATAAATATAACATTTTTTGTTTTTATATTCAAGTTCGACCAGAATTTCGACCAGAATGGCGTCGTCAAAAATTGACTGAAAAATGGTTAAAATCTTTAACAACATCTCAATCAATTGGTATGGAAATCAATTGGACTTAAATGAATAATAAAAGTTCTTTTTTTTATTTTTTAGCTGAACATGTTTTCATATTTGAATATGATCTTTCTCAATTAATTCAACAATTAAAACAATTTACTTTTCTCAATATTAATGGTCGAATTGATCGTCAAAAAATCGAACCTTACCGTTCTATGATTCAAAGACGTTTTCCTAATAGTCGAGTTGATATTCAAATAAGAAGATTTTGTCTTTGGTTTTGATCTTCTATATATTATATTCACTCGATATAAACTGTAATCATTGAATAATTTTGATTATTTTCTTCCTTATTATTTAATCATTAATAAAAAGTTTTTTTTCTCATTCAAATCTTTGATTGAATATTTATTTATTTTAACACTTTTGTAAAACACGATTTAAAAGGAATATGTGCGAGTGTTAGTACAGATGAGCGAGAATTTGAGTGAGATTGTGAGTAGATATTGTTGCAGTTATTTTGATCATTATACATCCATAGTTATCAGTGATTGGACAGTGTAGAAGTACAAATATTTGGTACTTAAAACATGTACTGTGGACTTTACTTGAATATTTTTTACTGCAATACATTGATACGCAGTACATATACTAAGTACAGTTTGTACT